GGGAAATGCAAATCAAAACAACTCTGAAATACCATCTTACTCCTGTCAGAATGGCTAAAATCAAAAACACCGAAGACAATTTATGCTGGAGAGGATGTGGAGAGAGGGGGAGTGCCAACTTGTACAGCCACTATGTTAATCAATATGGAGATTCCTCAGGAAAATGGGAATCAATCTACTGCAGATCCAGCAATTCCACTCTTAGGCATATATCCAAAAGATGCACATTCATACAACAAGGACATCTGCTCCACTATGTTCATACCAGCATTATTTATAATAGCCAGAACTTGGGAACAACCTAGATGTCCCTCAACTGAAGAGTGGATAGAGAAATTGTGGTACATTTACACAATGGAGTATTACTCAGCAGAAAAAAGCAATGCAATTTTGAAATTCACAGGTAAATGGATGGCACTAGAAGGAACCATCCTGAGTGAGGTAATCCAGTCACAAAAAGACAAACATGGTATGTACTCACTCATATATGGATTTTAGACATGGATCAGGATAGTGCCAGTCTGCACTTCCATGGACAGAGAGTCTGGGAAACAGGAAAGAACCTAAGAGAGATATTCATGGTACCCCAAAGAAGAGGAATGAGGCAAGATCTTCTGAACAGATTGGGAACATGGTGAGGAGTGGGAGGGGAGTGGGAGCTGGGAAGAAGAGAGGGGGAGAAGAGGGAGAGAGAGTAGATCATGGGGGAACAGGAAGGTTGAGTGGGGGGTAGAATAGAGGGAAGAGGGAATCATAGGTTAGAAGACAGATCAGGCTACAGTGAGACCTCAAGTGATCTAAAGGGATGACACCAACTGGCAAGCTAAACAATAGTGCAGAGACCACCTCACATGCCCATTCCTGATAATGAACTTGATGTCTATAGCCATCCTAGAACCTTCATCCAGTGACTGATGGAAACAGAGGCAAACACCCACAGTTAAACACTGAACTGAACCCATAGAACCCAGTGACAGAGAGAGAGGAGCGATGAGCAAATTGGCAAAGAATGGGCTGGCAAAATCAGCAGAGACAGTTGATCTGAACAAGGGGGAGCTCTTGGACCCCAGACCGACAGCTGGGAGGCCAGCATGGGACTGATACAGACCCCTTGAGTGTGAGAGTCAGTGAGAAGGCCTGGGCAACCTATGGGGCCCTGGGCAGTAGATCAGTGTTTATCCCTGGTATACAAATGGACTTTGTGTGTCCGTGTGTCCATAAAACAAAGAGGGATGCTCTCTCATCCTGGACTCTTAGGGGAGTGCCTGGACCCTTCCCTGAGTGAAATGACAGACTCTAGATATCCCCTATGTGGAAGGAAGTGGGGATAGGGTGGGAGACTGGGGGGGGGATGGTAGGGAGGTGTGGGAGGAGGGGAGGGAGAGGAAACTGGGATTGACATGTACAACAAGCTATTTAAAATTAAAGTAATAAAAAATAAAGTGTATGGTAATAAAGTAACCTACCACTGGTCAATATGGAGGAATAAGAGACTGTGGAGTGCTTAGTTCTAAGTAGGATGCCTCTATTGTACTCCCTCCTTCCAAGGCTCAGCAATCATTGTAGAAGAGGAATCAGAAAAACTCTAAAAGGATATAGTATGAAACATCCAGAGGGCAGTATTTTACAGATATGACAAAGGCTACAGAACCCATGAACTCACAGTGTTTGGGTCAGCATGCTTAAAACCTGCACAGGATCAAGCCAGACAAGAATCCCAGCATGGATTCAGGAGAGATCCATGAAGCCCACTCCTAACAGGGGCCATTGGCAATTGATGGCTTCTGGGAGTGGGAGAGTTAGTTGTCTTTAGGGATGATGCCCCTAAGAGGTTATCAACACTCCAATAGATGGCCCTATATCCATACACATACTGGTAACACCAAGGGGAACCAGTGGATTGTTATAAAAGGGTACATGGGGGTGGGAGGGAGCAATGGTGATATGGGATATGGGAAAAATTAAAGGAGAGGAATTGGAGGTTGATTTCAACAAAATTCCTTATATGCATATATGATATTCCCAGAAAATAAAAAATAAAAAAGGGGTTATTTGAAAAAGGATTTGTATACTAGCATCATACATTAGTGCATATATATTGGAACTTTCCCCAATGCAAGCATAGCAAATGTCATGAGTTCCTGCTGTTGAGCAATCTCTGGTAGCATCTACACTCACCACATCCAGAACTTTATGCCTGCTGGAAAGCTGTGCAGATACTGCATGTTTTTCTTATCTCTTACTGCGGAGTTTGAGGTGGTTTTAATGTTGTCATTTTGGAAGATCATCTCTCTCTCTCTCTCTCTCTCTCTCTCTCCCTCTCTCCCTCCCTCTCTCCCTCCCTCCCTCCCTCCCTCCCTCCCTCCCTCCCTCCCTCCCTCCCTCCCTCCCTCCCTCCCTCCCTCCCTCCCTCCCTCTCTCTCTCTCTCTCTCTCTCTCTCTCTCTCTCTCTCTCTCTCTCTCTCTCTGCTTGTGGATCAGGATGTAACTCTCAGCCACTTCTCCAGCCTGCCGATATGCTTCCTGTTGCTTTACTCCCTGCCATGAAGAAAATGAACTAACCGTTTGAAACTGCAAGCAAGCCCCCAATTAAATGCTTTATTTTTTAAGAGTTGCCTTGCTTATGGTGTCTCTTCACAGCAACGGGATACTGACTACGACAGTCACTATGATGCATCTCTTTCTAGTTCCCCATTTTTTTTTCCACACAGAGGCTGTAAACTACCAAACAAATAGAAGCATCCCAATATGCTACTGTCAATTCCCACAATTTCTAATGCACACACTTGCGTCCTGGTTTTGCTTACTATCTCAATAGGTCCAACAGCTCCATTTCCTGTTTTTGGCAGTTGGTCTTGCAGAGGTCTGAAAAACAAGTGTGAGACAGAAAAGGTACAGTATGAATATAATTTGTTAAAATTCTCCAAAGAACATTTTTCCAAAGTGTGAAACATTGCCTTTGGCAGCAAATTTACATAACTTTATTAAATTTCAAAAGCCGAGTTAATGACGGGGTGTTACAAATTTTTTAAGGGAAAGTCATTGGAAGTTGGCAGTGGCTCTCTGTATAGAAATGAATCCATGCGCCTGGAGTGAAAAATGTTTAAACTGTGTTAAAATATACACAGCAGATGCCATTGTTGTAACCGTTTTAAACGACAATGAGGGCACCAAACTCATCCTTCACACTACAGACGGAACTCTTTTTCATCCTGCTCTACTGATTCCCTGCGCCTCTTGAACTCCTTCCCTTATCTATTCCCTCAGCCACCATTCTGCTCCTTGTGTCGCTGTGAACCTGACAACCCTAGACGTCTCATCCAAGTGAAATCATACAAGACGTTCCCTTTTTGTGATTGGCACAATGTCTCCAAGGCTCACTTTGGAATTAGCCACTTAAGCAGGGTACCTTTGAGTTTCCTCCCTGCTGCAGCCCGTCAGAACTTCCCATCCCCATCTTAAGGCAGATTGCCATCCTTGCTATGTTCCATGTCCTGTTACCTTTTCGAATCAGTGGGTGTTGGAACCGGGCATTGTGCTGACCTTGCCCGCTGACAATGGGTGGGGCATGCATAAGCATTCAGGCAGATACTTAGGCAGCTCAAAGGGCCCTGTGTGGCGTGGCCACATCATGGCTCTCATTAAGGGGCTGTGTAAGAACACAGGTGCAAGCTTCCCCTTTTAAGCGAGCACCTCCACGTGTTCTCTCGCTCTCCCTTCATCTCCCTCCCTCTCTCCTCTTGCGCTCTCCCTTCATCTTCCTCCTGTCTCTCCTCTCTCTCCTTTTGCCCCCTCCTCTCTCTCTCTCTGTTCTCCAGCTCTCCCTTCTCCGTCCCTCTTCTCGGCTTCTCTCCTTCTCTCTGCTCCCAGTTGGCCAACACCCTCCCTTCTCTCTTTCCCTTTCCCTTCAATAAACTCCACGTGGGTTTGTTGACTCGTGATTCGTGTTTCATTGCATGCCGCTGCCGCAAATGAACAAAAGTCAGCACACACTAGGGTTTCTTCTATTCTTCGGTCATTGCTGCCAATGCTTCTATGACCATGAATTCAATATATCTGAAAATTTCAATATTATTTCAGTATTTTTGCCTGCTCAGAAAGAGTTGTTAAATCATACACCTATTTATGTTTTTAATTAAAAGATATTTTATTTATTTATTTATTTATTTAGAGAGAGAGAGAGAGAGAGAGAGAGTGTGTGTGTGTGTGTGTGTGTGTGTGTGTGTGTGTGTGTGTGTGTGTGTATGTGTATAACTTTTGGGAGTTCTTTCCTTCCACTGTTGGATCCAGAGATTGAACTGAGGGCACCAGTCTTGCTAGCCCTGTTTTTTAAGTTCTGAGGAAGTCCGTGTGGTTTCCCACCCACAGCACAGGAGGAGTCTGCTGCTTCTCCCACCCTCACTAATACTTGTCCTTGTTTCTGTCACTACAGTAGCATCCTACTAAGCAAGAAATGGCAAAAAACAAATAAAAAAAAGATCCAGCCTTCTCTAATGCAATGCACAACAACTGAATTCTGTTAGGTACGTTGCGTGGGACACTCTGAATTCCGTCATCCCTTTGAAAATATCTTAGCTCACATTTGTGGGACACCCGAGCGAGTGCAACGGGTGACTTTTGCACACTGACTTCATATCAAACACGCACAACTCTGAAACACAAGACACATTTAAAGACGCGATCAGTGCGAGTCTCCGCAAAGGCGCCCTCCCACGTCTTCCCTCCGGCTTTGAAATGTCCTGCTCTGTCAGTCTTCACGGATGACAAGCTGTGCAGTTTTTGTCACTGATGAATTTGTGTGTCCCTTCTCCTGCCTCAGGTTAATGGTTACTTTACTTGCTGGCTGGTGTTCGGAGGAGGATAGATGAAACAAACAAACAAACAAACAAACAAACAAACACAAAACCCCGGTGCTTTGAATCTGGAAAGCCCCTTTTGCTCGACTGACCTCAGCTGTTGTCACTTGATTAATTCCATTTGAGGGAGACTATTTCCTACTCCCTGACCTTCACTGGGGTTTACGCCAGTTTACGACAGTTTCCTCTCTACCAGAAGTGAGAGGAGTCACAGGCTGGCTCCAACTCAACAACCGGGCTGCCAATGTGCAGGTTGTGCAGCGAGGTCGTCTGCTCTCAGGCCCGTGTGGTTTCTGCTTGGCTGCAAGCTGAGGTAAGTTAGTGATTCAGCAGTTAATTTTATTTGGCCCAAAGCACCTACATTTCTGTTTCTAGCGTCAACTGACCCATGCCTACCTCGTCAGAATCTTGCCCGGATTTTTTGCAGCCAGATCCCACCCCCTTATTCCAGGAATCCAGCTTTTCAAAACCATCCAACCCATCCTTTAATCCTTGCCACGGGCTAAATCCTTGCATCCCCTTGTCTTGTCTCCTTGAGGTGAAGTCAGCTGTGTAGTTTCAGTTACACCTGATAACCAGCAAAATTGCCATCCCTCTCTATTTTTCTTTCTGAGGTGGCGAATGTTTGCTGTTACGTCCCTACTGACCTTCTCGCTTCTGCGGTCTACGGCTGTATATGAACATCCCACAAGGTCGGTACTGCTGTGACCATTTTAGGGGTAAGTGAATTGAACCACAAAGTAAACGACTATAGTTGACACAGCTAGGGATTGACCTTGGTTGAGAATCCAAAACTTGAATTTTTCCATCTACAAAATCATGGTGCTGATGGAATGTGACCAGAAGGTCACATTTATTTGGTCCACAGGTGATGCTGCAGTGCTCAAATGAAATCTAAAACAAAATTGTCTCCTCATCACTCCCTTTTGCCATCATCGATGGCATGGAAATTAAAGAAGGAACATTCAATGCATAAGAAAGCAGCTCAACGAGATGAGGGAAATAACAACCACAACAAGAGATTAAAGGCATATGGCTGTGTGATGCAACTTTTTCTTGGCTTCCAAAGTGTTCCCAATACTTATGTTTTACATTTTAAATAATAGTCATTAATTCAGCCATTGTGAAAAATAATATGGGGATGTCTTAAAAAAACTGCAAATAAGGCCCCATCATGGTGGCTCATGTCTTTAATCCCAGCATTCAGGAGGCAGAGGCAGGCAGATCTCCCTGAGTTTCAGGCCAACCTGGTCTACATTGTGAGTTTCAGGACAGCCCATGGCTACATAGAGATACCCTATCTCAAAAATCAAAACAAAACAATAATAAAAGTACAAATAGCTGGGCTGGAGGGATTGATCAGTGGTTGGGAGCATGCACTATTCTTCCAGAGGACCGGAGTCCTGTTTCCAGTACCCACGTTGGGTGACTTAGAGCCAGTTATGGCTCCAGCTCCGAGGGATCTGATCTCCCTTGCCTCCACAGGGCACCTGCACACACCACACACAGACACACACACACACACTCATACACATAACTGAAAATAATAAAAATAAACATAAGGCCCCCCACACTAAAAATAGAATAACCAAGTGACTCAGTGATCCCACTGCAAGTATGCCTTGAAAGGAATTATTATCAGTGTGTTGAAGAATTGTCTGCTGCACATCCATGTTTAGTGCTTGAGTATTCATAGTCGTGAAAACCGAAATGCCCACCAGTACATGGATGGATAACAAATGTGTGGCGTAGATACACAGCACAGTAATAGCCAGCCTTTATTCTCCTATGTTTACTTATTCATACTTTAAAGACTCATTTAATGTGTATGCGTGTCTTGTCTGCATATTTGTGTGTGTATCATGTGTGGTGCCTGGGTCCACACAGGTCAGAAAAGAACATCAGAATCTCTGGTACTGGAGTTACATATGGCTGTGAATCATCAGGTGGGTACTAAAAACCAAATGTGGCTCCTTTGCAAGAACAGAAATGTCCTTAACTGCTAAACCAGCATTCCATCCTTTATTTCTTTATTTTTTTTAATTAAATTTTTAGTTTTTAAATGTGTGTGAGTGTGTTACAGAGTACAGGCAGTTATGGATGCTGGAAACCCAACTTGGGTCCTCTGAAAGAGTAGCACACACTAAATCACTAAATCATCTCTCTCTCTCTCTCTCTCTCTCTCTCTCTCTCTCTCTCTCTCTCTCTCTCACACACACACACACACACACACACTCTTGCTCTCTGAGATAGAGGTTCACTTTATAGCCCAGGCTGACCTCCAGATCCTCCTACCTCAGGCTTCCTAGTATTAAGAGTACAGACAAATCCCATCCCTCTCAGTATTTAAAAGAAAAGAATTATATCATATGAAAACTGGTGTGACTCTAGAGGGCACTATACCAGGTAAAAAAGCACAGAAAGACAAATACTGCATGGTCTCATTTTTTTTTTTTTGTGAGATAAAAGTTACACTCATTGTGATTGAGTAGGCTGGATAGGGTAGGTGGTGACGGAGTGCTCAATGCTTGAAATTGCCAAAATGGTGGGAGATCCTTCTCTGGATATTTTATGTTAACAAACTGTGTGACCTAGGGAGTTGCTCTCCAGTTATACAGAGCGTGTATCCAAATATAGCCTGTAGTTAAGGCAAAAGTGAATATAGGACTTAAACTTTCGATTTTGAATCTCTACACAAATGCATTCTGGGTATAGAAAACAGTATGCTGTATATAGGCACAAAGATATCTGTTTAGTGAAAATGAATGTACCACATGGTATCAAGGGTCCATCAATGCTGAGATGAAATTATACAGCCATCTTTTCTTTGCTGCATACTCTGCCACAAAGAATTCAAAAGAGGTGCTATCTGAAGTCCTAAATCAACAGTTCCTGTCTTGAAACCAATGTGGAAGCAGTTGTAATAACCACGACAACAGTCGTGCAACAATCATATTAAAGTACACCAAGCTGGGCGTTGGTGGTGCACACCTTTAATCCCAGCACTTGGAGCCAGAGGCAGGTGGATCTCTGTGAGTTTGAGGCCAGCCTGGTCTACAGAGTGAGTTCCAGGACAGCCTCCAAAGCAATACAGAGAAACCCTGTCTCAAAAAAAAACCCAAAAAATATATATAAAATAAAAAAATTTAAAAAATTAAAGTACACCAGAATTCAAGAGTGTTAATTTAAAATAAAACATTTGTGTGTGTGTGTGTGTGTGTGTGTGTGTGTGTGTGTGTGTGTGTGAAATGTGAAAGAGATAATGTATGTTTGAAATTTCAGGAAAAATTGTAGAATTTAGTGGAAGCTTACCCACGTCTCTGATTACTTTCTTGCATCCTTTCGGCTCTTTCAGAATGTGCCATATTATTTATAATTTTGTCTTCTGAAATAAAATAGTAATGATTTTAATAACAGCATGAGTAGGTGAACTTTTTCACCTGATTGGCGTACAACAGCATTTTACATCTTTAACAGTCTGCTAAAGCAAGCTTCCAAAATTCATATTGCCCAACCTTCCCTCCTGTATGAACTGCTTAGACAGTTGATCTTGTTACATTTTGTCATTGAGTTTGTGAATCCTTCACCTCCTTCTTAGCTGAGAGTTGGAGTTAATGGAAATTTTAGAACTGGAATGAAATAAAGTAAAAATGGAAAAGTGTACTGTTGTCCAAATATTGGATTTCATTCTCACTCTGCCATTGATTTGATTTTAGCTGGGGAAAACTTGAAGCTACCCGATATTCAGGGTTCTCTGTAAAATTTTTTGATATCTAGCAGTCTAAGGGAGTAGTTTTCTCTTTCGCCAACTACCAAGTAGGTAGATTTACAGTAATGAAAAGTAGAATATTTTGAAAACCTACTCATCATTAGACCTGCATTAAGCACAGCATAATTCTTCCTTTGGGTGGTGCTTGTCCTAAGATCACCATTGTATGCATAAATTGTTGTTTCACTATTGATGAAAAATGCTCATGGTCAACCTCATTTGTTAGTGCATATAGCATTTCACCTTATATTGACATGATGCTAGAAATATGGATGTAACCTGTAGAGTGGAATTACTAATTAATCAAACAATACCAAAGCATATGATTGGGCTAATATGCTTTCAGATAGCAGGAATCTTAATGAATTATTGTTTCCCAATGAGTCAGAGAGAAATGCAGCACCAAGAAATAGGACATATGCAAAGTCATTCACAATAAGTGAGTATAATAGATACTGACACTTGCCATAGTGATTTTGTAGCATTTCTAATTTAATATATACCCAAGAAAAGCAATGAAATAAAAGTCATAAAATAGTTGGTAAATATCATTTACACACCATAAAACTATTATATAATAAAATTATACATTCATAACAAGAAGTTATATTAAATCTCACCTTGGTAAGAGCATGATCTGTTTTCCATTTACACAAAACTCATGTGTGGTTTTTCTCTTCAACAAACAACTTCACTTTAATGATTGTGCTTAGCCAATCTTGCGTTCTGGTCAGACAGCTGTAATATCTGATATAATCAGTGATAAATTTCTATGCAAAGCACATGGTGTTCTTCACATGGTGTTGCAATTGGAATCAACATGAGCAAAGAGAATTCACTGAGTAAAATAAGTACTCTTTGAAAACAATCTTAAGTAACTGCACACCTAACTTCTGTTGCTTAGTTCCAGGATACCTTTTAAAATTGCAGAATAAAGTAATTTCTTTAGTACATCAACAGCATAGAACTTAGTAACAGTCCATGTGAGGTACTGATTATATTACCTCAATACTGCTCCCTGGGAGGTCATTCTGTATTTGCTGTTTATTCATATTTGTCTTATGGTCAATAACATTTAATCTAGCTTTACAAATGTATTGCCTTGATATATTATATGCCTTACTTATTCCTTTATAAATTACCAGTTATTAGTTGCAAGTGTCCAAAAGCTGTGTTTTCTCCCCAGGAGCTTACAACATCATCTTCTCCAACCACACCATAGTCTTATAATTCAGTGTGTCCCCGAATCATCTGGCTAGGTTTTATGTGAGACATTAATGGAAATGCAGAAGTTTAAAATCTTTTGGTTGTGTCAAAATACGCATAATATAACCTTCACATTTTAAGTGCAGAGTTCGAGGTCAGTGACATCAGGTTCCTATGTGGTGTTGTGTAACCAGCATAGTCATCTGCAAACCAGGTTTATCCTCCCAAAGTGAATTGTGTATCCATCAAGTACTAACTCTTCCTCTGTCCAATATTTGATAAGCTCTACTATATATTCCACTTGTATGAATTTTCTTCTTTAAGTCATCTCAAAGAAATGGGATCTGACAATGCCTGATTCTTTTTCACTTAGCATGTTTCACGATTCAGCTGTTTATCAGAATTGAATTCCCTCTGCGGCTGTGTGAATATTCTACCTCTGGGCTCTTATGAATAATACTGATGTGGAAACTTTCATTTGAGTTTCTATTTGAGTGGTCTTTCATTTGCTCCATGAATGTGGAAGTAAAATAGTTGGATCATATTCTATGTTTGTGTTTTTGAAGACTTGCCAACCATTTTACGTTTGCAGAAGCAACATGCAGATGTTCCCATTTCTTTATATCCTCATCAATATCTGGCATGCTTTGGTACTGGCAAAGGTAATCTTAAAAGGTGTGAGTGGGGTCTCATTGTGTTTTTCATTTCCCTCCTAAATAGTGGTTCTGAGGAACTGTCAAACAC